GGCACTCTTCCTTGAGGTCTCTGGGTCCACAGTCTGAGCTCAGGGTGGTCACCCAGAGCCCATTCCCCCGGACAGGTGGGGCAGGGGGGCTAGCTTGAAGAGCTGGAGGAAGATGGCAGAGTAAGAGTTGATATGAACCAGCGCCTGCTTAGCCAGACTTCCTAAGCTCCCCACCGGGCCCAGGCTGGGCCCCTTCCCCACACCAGGAGGATCCCAGCTGAGGTCCCCTCCCTGCACCCAGCGCTCTCCTCCCTGTTCTACCACTGGGGGAAAGGAACAGCTCACCTGCTCTGGACCCTGCCAACCTGGCAGGCTGAGGCACAGGCCAGGCGGTGCAGCCTAGGGTGCTGGTGGCTGCAAGCCTTCTCCCCCTCCCTGAAGCGTGGAGTGGGGTTGCAGCAGCTCACAGCCGCCCCTGGGCACCATGCATGGAGATACCGCTCTCCACTGAGCTACCGTCTGCCCAGGACCTGTGGGGGTTGGGGTGGCCTCAGGCTCCCACTGGTCCCACTGAAGCCAGACTCGGCTTGGCAGGCCACCCCCACCACCGGAGGGCTGCGCATGCCTCATGGGCCTCATCGCCCTCATGAATCCCTGTGGTCTGGCCATCCCATCCCAGGAAGTGGCCATCCTGATCGCCATGGCTCACTCCCCGGTGCAGTTGGGCCTGCCCAGCAAGCATGTAGGCAAGAGCTGGGCCTCTGAGGGGAAGGAGGAGGGATGCGGGCCAGGAAAGAAGTGGGGAATTTGGCGGTGTAAACACAGCCCCACCCCCAACTTCGTGCCGGCCCCTCGCGCTGCATTCCCAAACCCCTGGGTGCGCCTGCCCAGCACTGTGCTCTGGGCCTGGGGTGGGGATGAGGGACCTGGAGCTGCCGCCTGAAGGCAGCCCTCGCTGGCTTGGAATCGCAGTGGTTGATCAGGGAGGGATGTGGGGTGCCAAATTCCACCTCTCTCTCTCTCTTTCTTTCTTTCTCTCTCTCTCTCTCTCTCTCTCTCTCTCTCTCAGAGGGCCCCTGTGTCCCCGGTGGGCGGGCGGGGCTCAGGCCTGGCTCACCATTGTATTGCTGCCCACTCTGTTGCTGCTGAGGTGGCGGGGGCTGCTGACTTGGCCCAGGCCCCTGGCCAGCCTCCTGCACCTGGACCCCAAGCAGCAGCGGAGCTTCCAGCAGCCAAAGCAGCAGCAGTAGCCAGTACACCAAGCGCCCGGAGCCAGCTGTGGGGCGGCGGTGGCAGTGACCAGCTCCCCTCTGCCACCGGACCCGCCGGGAGTGCCCTGGCACAAAGTTCTCAGCTCCCGGCGCTGGCGGCCGGGGACTTCTTAGGTGCCTCCTCCTCCCCACCACCCATGCTTCATGAATCACAAGTTTCCGCGGAGGCGGCAGCTGCAGGACGAAGAGCGGGAGACACGGGAGCAGGCCGAGCGCAGCTCGGGCTCGGGCTTGGGCTTGACGGAGGGCACCGGGGCAGAGGAGGCCTCCCAGGCGGCAGGGGGAGCCCCTGTCTCCCGCTCTGCATCCTGCAGCCGTTGCTTCCACGGAAACTTGGGATTCATGAAGCACGGACAGCGGGGAGAGCCTGGGTGGCTCCAGTGCTCCAGGGTCGCCTCCTGCCGTCCTGGCCCTGGGCTGGCTGGCTCCCAGCGGGCAGGTGGGGCTCATGCTAAGGCAAGCGATGCTGCTGATCCCCCGCCCGCCCCCGGATTGCACATGGGAGTGGGCCCCCTGTCTCCGGTGGGCAGGCAAGGGCTCCAGTGAGGCGATCGGCACCACTTGCCTTGGCCCCAGCCCCCGCCCACCCCGGATCGCACATGGGAGTGGGCCCCCTGTCTCCGGTGGGTGGGCGAGGGCTCCGGTGAGGCAGTCACACACGGGGGCCTGGATGGCGGCTTGTGCTGTCCTACCCTGCCTGCAGTATGCAAATTAGCCGCCATCTTTGTTGGCGGATAACCGCCATCTTAGTTGGCAGTTAATTTGCATATCGCCCTGATTAGCCAATGGGAAGCGTAGCGAAGGTATGGTCAATTACCATGTTTGTCTATTATTAGATTAGATAATATTTATATACAATAAATAAATAATAAATATTTGCAATTTGATAGAGAAAATTTTGTGTTCTAAAAACAAGAAACAGCCCTGACTGGTTTGGCTCAGTGGATAGAGCCTTGGCTGTGGACTCAAGGGTCCCAGGTTCGATTCCGGTCAAGGGCATGTACCTTGGTTGCGGGCACATCCCCAGTGGGGGGCATGCAGGAGGCAGCTGATTGATGTTTCTCTCTCATCTATGTTTCTAACTCTCTCCCTCTCTCTTCCTCTCTGTAAAAAATCAATAAAATATATTTAAAAAAACAACAAGATACATTTGCCAAGTTTCCATCTTGGCTTCCCAGTTGTAAGAGAACAGTTTTTGTTTGCATCACTATGAGCCCATGAAATTGGCTCCTCACAACCACGACTAGGTCCTGGATCCTTAGAGATATTTCTTGTGGACACGAAAATTATTTTTAAATTGTTTAAACTTTTAGTCCATGAATACAAAAACAGATGAAAACATAGCTGTATTTAGTGATGAGCTAGTGGTTAAATGGGCAAATCAGACTGTACTTAATACTTTACTCATTTTTAGAGACCTTATAATTGTCAAGACACCCACGACATCCACTTTTAATGACAATTATAAACAAAATTCTCACGCCAAACTATATTTTTTCCCCCCAGAAAAATCTAAGTAATTTTCCCTTCAACTTAAACTTTTTTTAAAAGCTTTTTTTTTTTTTTTTTTCCAGCCTGGTACAGTTTCTTGTTGTTTTTTTTAAGGCCCTTCTGAATTGCAGTAGGCGCTTTTATCTAAATAAATCTGTAACAAATTTTTACAGCCAAAACCAAGTTGATGGCGTGTTCTTCAAATTTAAATGCATAGAATGATGGTCCCAAAGGGAAATTAGTGAGTGAAATGACTTCTGGCTTCCTTGGGATCTTACCCTCTGGCAGACTGCACTCTATTAATGTTCAAAGTATTCACGCCCTTTCCTCAGGGAGCGATTATCCTCCCCACCCACTGATGTCAGGCTGGGCCATGCGACTTGCTGTGGCCAATGAGAAGGGGCTGAAAAATGACTCGAGGTACTTGTGAGTGGAACTGTTAAAATCCCACTAGCGCTTCACCCTGTCTCTCTGTTCCCTCTGCTTCTTAGGCAGGCAATGTCTGAGATCAGGCTGCTCTGGCAGCCTGGGCCCTGTGGTGAAGATGTGGGGCAGAGCAGGGCGGACCTGCAGGGAATGTGTTGTTAGAGCAAGAGAACAGGACCATAACCCATTGTTGTTACAAGCCACTGAGAGTGTGGGGTGCATTTTGCCTTGACCCCACTCAGTCTCAGCTGGCTGACGCACATGTGAACAGGGGTGTGCTCTATTTAAAGGCCCCAAACCTTATTTTAAGAGAATACTCTAATTTCCAGAAACCCAAGTGCTATGAGCAGCCAGCTCCTTTGTGAAGTTTTATATTAGTAAAGTATTTTGTCTTTAAAATAAGAAAACTTATAACTCAAAGTTCTAGTTTCTGAATTTATTGGGGGAAAGAACAAGTCAATTTTCACTCCAGTCAGATTTACCAAAGACTATATACTTTTAGTACTGAGAAGGGGACTGACAGATTTTAAGGTTGTTTTGAAATTGGGAAAATTAATTAAAGCCCTCTGTACCTCTGTATTTCCTACTGCTATAAGCTAAGCAGACCCTGCCCTGTGATGGACTTTACAATGTATAAGAGACCAAATATTAGAGGTTCCTAATAACAGAAGCTCTGATCACAAAAAAATTCAAGTAAAATGGACCAAAAAATCTTAAGTGCAAAATTTTATGCTCCTTTTCTGGGGCCAAGCAGTTATTTTTGGTGTATCTTCACAATTTTCTTTTTTTATAATGTGCTAAGTATAGCACAGTTTTACTTGTGTTAATAACATAGGACTTCTTAAAACCAGAACAATCATAGACATGGGATTTCTCAGTCATTTTTATAGGTTTAAGTTTTTCAAAATCTAAAATATTGTTGGTACCAATAATATCACGGTAAAACATTTTAAATACAGGGTGGGCAAAAGTAGGTTTACAGTTGTGAGTATGTGAAACAGAGTTTATTCTAGTATTATTATTTATTAATTATTGTATTATTTTCCATTAGAACGACTGTAAACCTACTTTTTGCCTCACCCCGCATTTATCTTGAGATGGGAATAGTATTTTTAATGACTACACTCCTGTCATGAAAGTTGCAACCAAGGTAAGATGTCTAAGCTAAAGGCATTTGATATGACGGAAAAAGTTAAAGTTATACATTCTCTAGTGTAATTAAAAATGAGTAGTTGAAAAAGTGATTAGCTGAACAAAATGAGGGGAAAAGGAAATAGGCCATATTTCTATTTCTTCTCCACGCTAGCATATGTATACAAGATCAAGATCTGGTCACATGCCTGTACGGTATAAACAGTAGAGGTGCATCCAGACAGTAAGAGCTCTAAATGAAGTTTTGGAGGAAGCTTTTGTAAAACCATTTTGAATGATATTCTTATGCTACCCATGTTCTGTCTTCTGACATACGGTCAGTGGTATTACTAATTGTACACAAAAATTGTTTGCAAAACTTACTTGCCAAAAAGCAAATATCCTATTGTTACTTAGCCTGAGTTGTTTGATGAAATTTCAAAGGATCCAATTCAGTTTTGTGACAAACAAAGAAGAATAAATGCCCATATCTGGGTTTCAGCAGCACAACTACATTTTTTATTTAGGTTGCTGCTTTGGGGTCTGAGCTATAGCATTATCTATCTTTTGATACTCATGTCATTAAGAAGATATAGTCTGCTTACAATAATATATTTAAAGAAAAAATGTTAACTTAAACCCATTATTGGGAAAAATCAATGTTCAATCTCGTTATTTTGCCAAGTTGAATCAAGACTAACCAATGCTTCCCTAAATGCTATAGTAATAAAAAACCAACCAATTTCCTTTTATTCAATATATTAAATCAAATATAAAGCAAAATAAATTTTAGTGGATACTTTCTATTATAAATAAAAATAGCCCATGGTTTCTGGTTAAATTCAATGTTGTATTGTTAAAATGCAAATTATACGCTATTAAATAGGTATATGGATTTTAGTTGGACAACTATGGTTGGAACACCAAGTGGCATTACAATATACGTGCAATTACATTTTTTTAGTCTTTCAATAAATTACCTCCATGACAAAACTTTTGTAAAATCAAAGGCCCAAAGAGTTGGAATAGTGTAACATAGTGGTTAAATACACAGTCTTATGAGCTTGTAGATTTGATTCCAGCTATTAATTATTGAGACAGGAATAGCATGTGAATGTTGGTAAGTTACTTAACATTTCTAAGCCTCATGTATAAAATGAAGATAACAATATCTATTGCAAAGGTTATGGTCAGGATTAAACAAAATAATCATTACAAAATGCTTGATATAGTGCCAACTTGTTGAAATAGATGCTATCAGTAGATGCTATTACTTTTAAAGACTAATTATTTTGAAATCACATTTTTTGCAATTACTCATAATTAACTTATTTTATGGACAAAATGTCAATTCCATAGTCATTACCTTTATTGCTGAAATCATCAATTAATACAATTTCTGCTAAATATTTCCTTGGAGTCCTTTTTATGACACTGTGGACTGTTCTCATGAGGGTTGACCATCCTTCATTATGGAAAACAATGATAACGCTGGAAACGAGCAGGTTTTCATCGTAATGCCAATACTTGCACCTGCAAAAGAAAAATTTCATATTTATGTAGAGATAACATATAATGCTTGGTTCCAAACTTATGATTATGTTTTCTATTGGAATAAATATGATTGACGTAACTAATGTAAGTGAATAAAATACAACCTTTTACATTTTACAGAAACAAAAGATAGAAGAGAGAAGCTGCTATGAGATGAAATTATTCATAGACAAAGCTACTTCCTAACCAACAAACACTTTTTATGTGATAGACAAGTAATTTGTGAATTTATACTTCTTAGCTGGGATGCTTAAAATAATACTTACAGATATCAGGTTTTTTGTTGTTGTTGTTGTTTTTCCATGACTTAGAACTCAGTTTATTTTGCTTTTTAAAATTTGAGCTTCTGGTGCAAGGCATTTATTTCACTTGCTATGAATAAAACCACTATATAACTGTGTTTGAAAGCTATCCTATTCTAATATGACTAAACTATTAAGAAAAAAAATTTAAGGCTGAACTGTGGCATGTAGCAAAAATTAACATGAATGAATAAGCAAAGATCTTGTATTGTTTACAGTTATAGATTGGCTAAAGAGGATCTTTGGCTATTCAACACAGAACTATTTGAAACTGTAACAGGATTAAAGTTGCCAGAAACCTTTTTCTAATTGGAAACTCAAAACAGGCCTGATAGACTCAAAGAGCCAGCGAAGGCTCGGTGAGTTTCACAGAAGTGTGATACAGATATGCATACACACATATACTATATCTGTGTGTATATCCTTTGTATATGTATACCCACATGTTATATATATTTTGTTTGGTTACGGGGGTGGGGTGGGTGGGGGAAGAACAAGATAATAAGAACAAGACAGACTAACAAGAAGGATTTGAGACACATGTCCTTTCTGCAGGAGTTAACTTTCAGAATTAGCATTTGAAGCCTATGACCCTTTCCTTGCTAAGTGGGAGCGAAAGCTTTTCCCTCTCCCTCTCTCCCCCAAAGCTTTCCGTGAACCAGTAAATAAGCTTGATCCCAAGGTTAAATTTAAAACCATAAAAGCAATAATTCACTTTATCAGCCTGATAACCCATTCCAGCATTTAGAATAGTAATTGTTACCTAACATAGGGCCTGGTCCAAAGTACAGGGAGATAACCTTTTCTCCAGGTGATTGTTACCTTTCAAGACTGTTCTAAACTGGGTTCATAGAGGCTGACTGTCTGGTAATCCATCTGCATTTTTCCATTGAATAAGTGAGTAGTAAGTGCCTATTATGTCCATGCTCAGAGCTGGGCACTGGAGCCATAGCTTCGAGGAAGATACTCTTGGTCTGGCTCCCATGAGCCCACCACCCTACAGGGGACACAAGACATGGAGCAAATATTCCCCTGAGTGTGTTGGTGGGAAAACCCCACTTGGCCTCAAGACGTGTGGTCAGGAAGGCCTGGAGCTAGTGCTGGAGGGTGAAACCAAAAGGATGATAAAAAAAAAAAAAAAGTACTAAGACCAAAGAAGTGGGAAGGGATTCAGGAGGAAAAGATGAAAGCACAAGAATGACTTGTGTGCATGTGATTCAGAAATTATGAGAACTTTAAAATACATAGATGGAAGATTTATATCTTTAGATGGTATAATTAAACTATGAAAAATAAACATAAGGAGGAAAAAATTATAAGGAAGGCATTTGCTGTATAACAGCATATTCTTATTATGTGCCAGGCACTATTCTATTTGCTTTACTTTTATTAACTTATGTAACCTACCACCACCACTCTGAGTTTAGTGCTATCAATCTCCCATTTTACAGATGAGGGAATTGAGGCTCAGAGATAAATGACTTGCATAAGATCACACAGCTAGTAAGTCCTGAAGCCAGGAAATAAACCAAGGCTATATTGAGTTTATAAGAAATCTTGTTAAACATGAACAAGAGAAAAAGAAAAAAATACTAGCTATACCTATAAAAATATAGAAGTGGAGGAATGCAGATCTTGAAAGAAGATAAAGAGTTTCTGGAGAGACACGAACCTGGGCAGAACAAGGTACGTCTGACTTTTAGATGGGTAGGGATAATAATTCCCACCCCACCAACAAACTGTAATCCATATGGAGCCTCAGGCAACATTTTTCTGATTTTCTGTTGTGAGATGAGGACATTGGGTAGAACACAGAGTAGAGCTTGTCATATACTAAACCTTGATGTTAAGACAGTATGGAAAGAAGCACCCATGGTATTGAGGTAAAACCCCCTATTTTGCATCATTTGTCTCACTTTACTGGCATAGAATTGGTCTTCCTTCTTAGGTTCTAAGAAGAAGGAAGACCAACTGAGAATAGAATGTCACACTTAAATGAATGGGTTTTGGTACCGACTTTTGACTAATTTCGGCTCTCTGGCACCTCATTTTCCAAGAGAGCTTAAAAATCCTCTGACCTCAAGGACAGTAGTGCCTTAGCTTTGCCACAGAACTCTGGCTGCAAATACCCACACTCAGGTTAAAGGCTTGCAATGATTAAAGCTATAAAGTTATTCCTAAAGTAATTTTACAGAACATTTTCATGGTAGCTATGTGGGCCAGGTGCTTGGGATCAAAAGAAAAGAAGGGGATAAAAAATTTTCATAGTGACTTTTCTATAACTTAAAAAAGTAGATTTCAGAACAAAAAATGAAATGCCTGTGAATATTTTACTTGCTTTCTTTCTGTACCAGCTATGTTCTTTAACATCTGTAGTTTGATATAAAGCCTTGTTGTATTTGGTCTTAATTAACAAATAACATTAATTCAGCAGACTATGAAAAACAACATTTTTAGGCTGCAAGTTCCTGCAACCCATATGTACTATCATTAATCCACAGTAACGTGTGTGTGTATGTGTGTGCACGCTTGTGTATTTGTATGTTGAAGTTACTCATCTTGCCCCTTTTAAAGGTTGTATTTTACTCCCTTACTCCTGAGAGTCTCAATAAATAGTCATTTGAGATTCTCTCCCTTTAATTTTGCATTAAATTTCCCTATAATAGGGAATATTCTTTAGGGATAGGAAATAATTTCTCAAAAGTTGGGAAACACTCATTTTTTTAAAGAAACTACACATTTTTATTTTTAAGCTAGAGGCCCAGTGCACGAAATTCATGCACTTGGTGGGGGTCGTCCCTCAGCCTGGCCTGTGCCCTCTCGCAGTCCAACTGACACTGGGAGTGGGCCTAAGCTGGCAGTCAGACATCCTTAGCACTGCCGCGGGGGCAGGAGAGGCTCCAGCCACCGCTGCTGCACCTGGCTCAGGGCTTCTGGCTGAGTGGCGCTCCCCATGTGGGAACGCACTGACCACCGGGGGGCAGCTCCTGCATTGAGCGTCTGTCCCCTGGTGGTCAGTGCACATCATAGTGAACAGTCCTTCTGCTGTTCGGTCAATTTGCATATTAGTCTTTTATTATATAGAATAAATTGAGAATCTTTCCTGTGTTCATATAAAACCCCTTTACCCATTCCCATTATAAAAGGGAGTGGGAAAATACAATTTACATGAAGCAGTGCTACACCCAATGAACAAATTAGTAATATAGAATATAAAATTTAATTTGGCATTCAGAAACCAATATATATTTTCAATGAAAGGAGAATTACCACTGTTAAACCCATCATTCAAGCTCAACCGATTGAGGGGAGTGGATTTTACCCAAGTAGCAGTTCCTATGTTCTTTGACTGGAATGACACCAAGTAAGACCCTTGAAAACTTGCTATGGGAGATTTTATTCCTTACAGTTCATTACACATAGCAAAATAAAGAATCTGAGCATCAAAGAAATTTATAAATTAAACTTCCTGATCATCTGGATATGTTCCATTTTGCCAATGTATTTCCCAGAAAAGACTGTTATAATAATTCATAATATTGCCAAATAGGGAAGTATTACAACCCTTAGTCTGGATATCATCCTTTAACTATATAATTTAAAATTACATTGGCACTGTATTTTTTTTTTTTTTTTTTTTTTTGCAACCATATCATATTGCTAGCTCACAAGTCCCTGGAACTTTTCTCCCCAAATTACTATGAAGCCCAATGTTTCTCATTTTTTATTTTTTCAGTTGAACTCAGCATACAATACCATGTTTACATTTATTGTTGGTTTAGGTGCATGTCTAGCAGGTTTTGCTCTTTTGATAATTTTGTCAATTGGTGTATATAACCATCCCTGCCCATTTTTCTGTGTGTTGAAAATTGGATTAGTAAGATTGCTATCTCTGTGTCTACTGTTAATGTGAACAAATATGAGGTCAAATATAGTGCTTTAAAGCTAAGTGTAATCCTTGAGAGGCTGCTATTACTCCACTCATTAACTTCATCTAACTGCACTATCACTGACTGCATTTCTTTACCTGTCCTCAGGGATCTGAAGACTTTACTCAGATATCCTGCTGCATCGAGATGCATTAGGTATCACACGGTCTCCTGGTCCACTAGTGTAAAGCTTATGTCTTTTCTTAGATAGTCACTTAGTTTGGTTTGACTCCTTTTCATAGACCTATGCTGGAATATAGTGGCTGTTACTTCTTCTGTATGTTTAAGTGATCCTTCCTAGAATCTTAACAGTGCATCAATATCAAGTTTCCAGAACCAAACGTTCTCTTTCCCCTTTGGAAAATATAAGGCAATATTTTCCCACCTGCGGTTTCCTAAAACCTCTCCTCTTCTCCACAATACCTCTGGATTACTGACGGCACTGCCTCTCACAGTCATCTGGTAAGTTCCTCAATATCTAGTCCTATGAGAGGCTTTAAAGGTCTCAACAAATTTAATGCACTATTAGAGTACTTTCTTATTCTGTGCTCATTATACTTAAATTTAATTCCCTCTTAGCATGATGGCTATAAAACTTTCAATATGGAGATCACTCCCGCAGAGGGCTAAGAAACAAATGTATTTCACATATCTGTTTTCTCTCATGTGAAAATCATATAATGTGCTCCAATAATCTGCCTACCCTGCTTTTTCTTTACTTTACTCCAAACATCCTTTTTAAAAAATA